TGTGTCCCTTGGAGCAGGCCCTCTGGTCTCAGTGCTCTTGCCATTTTGGACTCTGAGTGATTTCCTTTATCTCCACTTCTCCAGCTGGGCTTCTACCTCACGTGGTCTCTCACATGCTGTGCCCTGTGTGGAAAGTGCCCCCTCTTTGAAAGAACAGCTGGGGGGGGGGGCTTAGGGGTTAGCTCAGTTGTTTAAGTGCCTGCAGGGGCAAACCCAGTCAGGTGCAGGGGACCATGGTTTGATCCCCAGCTTCACATGCCTTATCAGATCCTCCCTTAAGGCAGCCTGAGCCAGCCCAAAGAAAAAAAAAAGAAGAAAGAAAAAGAAAAAAATCCTTCTGACAGAACAGCTTAGGCCCTTTCCAGTGACAGCCCTAAGGTGCTCCCTGCCCCATTTCTCCCCAGTGGCCCCTAAAGCCACATGGGCTGGCTTTCTGCCTTTTTCCTTACATTTCGTGACCAAAGCACTTTCAGAATCTCACTAGGTCTCTGTAACAACTCCACAAAGGGGCAAAGCATCAGTTATTCTACAGATAACAAAGCAGGCTTAGAAAACTGGGAGCTGGATGTCTTCTCTATTGGGATGTTCTAGCGGGGGCCATTCACCAAATGTCATGACAGGTTTTCTAGGAAAATGGTCACTGGAATGTGGCCTGAGACCCCGAGGTTCCCTGGAGTAGGATGAACAAAGCATGAACGTCAAGATGGAGTGTGTTCTGGTTTCTATGTAGACATCGCCTGAATAGGGTATAAGAGACAGATATAGGTTTGCTTTTTTTTTTTGCGGAACCAGAGATTGAACTCAGGCTCTTGCGCTTGTAGGAAAGCGCTAATTTATTTATTTATTTATTTATTTATTTACTTACATATTTTGCGGAACTGGGGATTGAACTCAGGCCCTTGTGCTTGCCAGGGAAGCACTTATTCCACTGAGCCATCTCCCCGGCCTTTCAAGTTCACTTTTTTTGAGACTAGGTCTTGCTCTATCATTGAGGCTGTACTTGAATTTACAACAATCCTCTTGCCTAAGCCTCCTTAGTACTGGAATTACAGGCAGGCTTTACCACACCCACCTTCCCTTTCCTTTCGCCCCGTCTTTTCAGTCCATTCCTTACCCCATCCTCTTCGACTTTGCATGATTCCTTCCATCCGGCCCGAGACTTAACTTGTGAGCTGGCCTGCGGTCTCCAACTCTAGGCGGCTGCCCTCCATCAGAATCCCAGCCCCTTCCCTACCCTTCTAAACTAAACTCCTGGTCGTTTCTCCTCCCTGTCCCCAGAGGCTGCCAGGAGAAGATGAGCTGTAGGTCACAGAGGCCAGTGGTAACTGCCTCCTAACCGACCCGTGAGAGGCTGTGGCTTGTCTGCGCCCCCTGTTGCCAAGGCAACCCTCCGCCCCCTGTTGCCAAGGCAACCCTCCGGGTCACCCACTCTCCCCCTGAAGGTCCAGCGTGAGACTCCGAGGGAGGGGGCGGGGGCGGGGGCGGGGTCAGTGAGACCCAGGAAGTTCCGCAACCCCTGGGCTCTGTAGGTGGGGTCAGATCACTGACCCCGCCAGAGCTGAGACCAACGTGGGGCGTAGACAGGGGAGCATTTTGTCTTGGATTCATCCCCAACATCAAGAGAAAATGAAAGTCTGCAAACGCGAGGGCCTCCACTTCCCACCATGCTTCTTCCAGACTTTCGGGGAGCTTCCCACTCCAACCCCCAGGGATCGCCCAGCACCTATTGCTGCCCGCGTGCACAGTCCCCGGGGTCCGTCATCCTCCAGGCTCCCCCATGGGCCTGGAACTCTACCTGCACCTGCTGTCCCAGCCCTGCCGAGACATCTACGTCTTGGCCAAGAAGACCGCCATCCCCTTCCAGCTGTGCGTGGTGGAGCTGCTCAAAGGCGGTCTGG